GGGCGATGTACGGCGTTCTCGCGCTAGCCGGCATCGTGGGGAACGTCATGGTCCTGCTCGCTATCGTCATGGACCGCCGCCTGCGAACCACCAACAACCTCTTCATCTTCAACCTGTGCGTGAGCGACCTGCTGGTGGCGGCGTGTTACGACCCCATGTCGGCCGTGTCCGTCATCAAGGCGAGATGGGTCTCCGGCAGCGTCATGTGCAGCGTCGCCGCCGCGATCAACGTCGTCAGCCTGATGGAGTCCACCATGGCGGTGGGCCTGATCGCGCTCAACTGCAACTGCCGCATCACCAAGCCGCCGGGAGTGTACAGGGAGAACTACAGGTTCAAGCGCTGCCTGGCGATGGTCGCCGCGTCCTGGCTTCTCGCCGTCGCCATCGCGGTCCCGCCGTTCATCGGGTTCGGACAGCTGGGGTACGACCAGTACCTGGGCGCGTGCGACTACAACTTCCACTCCCACCTGACGTTCTACTACTACCTGACGTTCCCCGTCTTCACGGTCATGGCGACCAACGTGGTGGTGACCGTGTGCTACGTCAACATCTTCATCAGCATCAAGAGGAGCGCGGACAAGACGCGAGGCGACGAGGCCATGCAGGTAACCATACATAGAACTAAGCACATGTTTGTCATCTTCTGTGTGTTCGTCGTCACCACCCTCCCGGAGATAGTCATGATCATACTGGACGTACTGGTCAAACCCATGCCGCCCGAACTCAACCTCTTCGCGCACATTCTCCTCCTGAGTAACAGTTCCATCAACCCCATCATTTACACCATCCGCCAGAGAGAGTTCCGGGTGGCCTACCGGGCCTTCCTGACCTGTACGTCCATCCGGGCGGTGAAAGAACAGTGCACCGCCTCGCAATTCGAGATGAACCCGGACAGAAAATACATCTCGGAAGCAGACAAACTCTGCATCGCCATATCCACGTCGAAAATCGAAGATGACAACGACAACCTGGCAAGTATTGAGGGTGATGACATTTCAACTCCGGTGTGACTCTTGCAAACATTTTATAAGAATATTTGCTTCTACGAAGTAATATAATATAAGGAATAACTAACTCGCACAACAATAGTATCATCAAACATTGACCACATTGTATAATAGTATAAAAGTGCAACTAAGCAAGACTTGTATAAAGACAAATACTTGAAGAAACACCAGACGGCCTTTGGAACATCAAAAGCATTTCCACATGAAATTACTTTGAACAGGTCATAAAAGCTACCCATTTGTTGATATTCTGTGATGATCTTGGTTATATGAGGACAAGCACTAAAAGGGTTAGTGCCAGCCAGGGGTGACACAACCTTACTGGCAACATTACTGGCAACGTGAGAGTCATCCGGGGCTGACTGCCGAACTAAATAATGCAAAATCCCGTTTGCCAGGGACTGACGATGATGATAATTGGCTTAAGAACTTGGCGCCGGTAAAAGTTGGATCCGTTTCAAACATGAAGCCATTGTGCCTCCAGGGAACTCTGGGTAATGGAACCAGCGCATTAGGAGTCTAGCCGCACTCGCAAATTACAACGAGGTGAAGTTCCGATTTCTATAGAGTGTACTAAAGTAACCTGAATATCGGGTCAACGTACTCTCTATGCATAGGTTGAAGTAAAAAATCGTTTCCTTCCTCTGGTCTTATCTATTGAAAGGATCAGCAAACGGATATCAGTCAGAATCTCTCATTTGAATTCAACCCAGGGAGTACGTTGACTCGGTATTCACGGTACGTACACTGTAGAAATCGGAACTTCGAGTCGTTGAAATCTGAGCGTTGTTAAACTCTGGGAGTAATGGAACATGTGCATTAGGTGAAGAAGTAAGGCCACAGCTTCGCGTAATCGGAGAGACGGGTGATGCCGATTCTTACCGGAACTGAAAATCTCCATCTGAGATTGCCTTGTCTCATTTGACATCTGAAGTGATGAGGGGTGAACACGTAATCTCGCCTTGAGTGCCTGGCTGTCTCGTGCTATCAAAACCACTCAAACGCCCGCAAATTACCGCAGTAAACCACGAAGGACAAAACTCCGGTGCGCATCCAAATCACATCACGTTTTTCATATCTGTAAAGTACGTACACAAGCACTAAATCAGACCGCACGGAGACCGACCATAATGCTTGGGCATAACAAAAACTGCAGTTTGATCACGCATGAGCTTAAAGCGGCTGTTAATGGTAGATAAAATGCATCACGTAGTGCGCCTTGGGCTATCGGGCGTTTTAATGTCGCCAGCTTACAAAACAAATCGACTAATAAGTAAAAGTTTATCCACGTTGCTAAAACATAGATTTAACTTTTATCCAACAAAAAGGGGTTTTCAGCCAACTCGCATTCCTGGTGTATTCTGCCTCTGGCGCGTGCAGGTGACCTTTCTAGAAACTGCAATCTCGAATCCCACACATTCACCCAAGAAAGACAGTTTAGGACCTATATTACTAGTTTCTTGCTAAACAATACTTTTTAAGTATTGATCTTATCAAGAAGTTACCGGGAAGCTCCATTGGCTTTCTGGTAACATCGATACTTAATTTGGTTGAAAGCAACCACAAACTACCTCCTGCGTCTAACTGTCGATATCCGTTAGGTCCAGATGACCTGTAATCAGATATACAGACCACAAAGCTTAGGACAGATGAGGGCATCGACCATATCGCGTCTATCTTCATTGTCATGAATGAAATTTTATTTTATCTGTAAGGCCATGTTGATTTGATTATATGGATGACATCCGCGCGCGCATGAATTTTCGGCCGTTTCCAAAAAAAAAAGTTTTCAACCATACTGTAAATCGTACAAAATAGTTGCAAAATGAGCAAAGACATACCGTAAGTTGCAAAAAATGATACCACTGTCGTAGAATGCCAAAGTCAAACCCAAAAAAGACGAAAATGTAAAGAAATGAATTTGAAGAGTAGATTATTCGCCAAACCATAGTCTGTGTCATTTGTTCCACCTTCAAAACCACGTAGATTTCATAATGAAAGCAACTTTTTTTTTTGCCAAACTTTTTTTTATTCGCACGCTCGCATCAGTTTTGGGGTTCCCAGAGGATGTCATCCATATAATCAAATCAACATGGCCTAACTTGATAGCTTCTATGTGTTTTCTCTGGGGTGTGTTTGATGTAGTACATTGTACATAGATAGCCTAAGTATTTGAGTTGGTATTTTGCGTGTGGGTATTGATATATTGATGGCTAGGGTTTGTTTATATATTCTTATTTAGATGTTCCCATGTATGAAAAATACGTTCTGTGCAAAGTATATTTTGTAGATTTTAACGTGTGCCATGTAGAGCTACGCTTGGGTTTGGGAGATCGATAGGTAATTTGGCGGGAATTGGCAGATAACTACCCCCGGTGCCTGATGGTCCCCATGCATTAGACCAAACGGTTGTTAAGTTACGATAAACGACTTAGTCTCTAATTACGGACCTGATAAGGCAAGCCTGTGTTACTGTTATCATGATGTGACGTTGGTTCTTACGTAAAGTATAATCTATCTTGACAAACGTTTTGTTCACTGTAAAATATGTTTAATGCACTCTTGCTGTACTTTTGTTCGGTCTCAAATTGTGTATAATTTCTGCGTCTTTAAGCACTAAGTATGATGCGTAGTTTAACCGTAGTCTACATAAATGGACATGATTTTGAATTATCTGTGACCTCGTTTTTTACATTCCCATATCGTTCGTTGCAAATAAAATGCCGTATGACAGAAATCGTCGCAACCCATTTGTACAATCTGACAGTGTGTATCATTTAGCCCCAAAAGACATCTTTGTAAAGATGAATGAGTTGGTTGCCTGGACGATCATACGCCATGTACAGTGTGTAGTACAATTTATATCAATAAATATGGGTTTGAATTATCAGTGACTTCTCCTTATTTTGATATGTTTCTTCTTGTTATTCATCTGCTTACATCTAACTCTGCAGTTTAGAGATATGTCGGACCTTGAAACATCAACATTCTCAATTTATCTCAACACACAGTTGTTGCGAAGAGTTCGATATTGTTCCAAAACATGATTTTAACGGTACCTTCACAAGCTCACATGTGATAAATTATAGTAAAACTTAGCTTCGTAAGTCGATTTCAGGCGAAGTTCCTACTGTAGCTCCCACCCATCCCTTTCCTTAGAGCTGATGTTATTAGATTTTTTTTACTTTGTACGTTAAACGTTTTCGTTCATGATTAAACATCCAAAATCATATTGCAGGCCGAAAATGCCTCGAATTACATATGTGGTCAGCTCCTTTCAATGATTTCAATGACCCTGATGTCATTTATGAAAGATATTGGATGCTGTCTTAAACGTGCTACTCCTGTGACAATTTATTCAGTTCATTGATTTATTCTGTATATCACGACACGCATTTGATGGTCTGAAATCCCACCTGGAGCACTTTTCTGTAGACAGGCGACTTTTAATAGACTTTTAACGGTAAATCAATGTGTAATGTTGTGTGAAGTGACAGTCAACTGCCGACAACCTCTTATCGTCGCCAGCTATGACGTCAAGGGTCCTTAATTATACGTCCCACAAACAGACAAAAGAAGAGAAATCAGCGATTACGTTATCATCGTGTGTCACCTTGGGTCTATTTATGCTCTATCATGAAAAACTGTCACGAAATTTCTAATTCTGTGAATAGTGTGAACATATTTGGGTAGTCTTCGGATGTTAGAGTTTGCATGAAGCACGACAAAGTTATAATAATATAATGTGTCATACAATTAATGTTGTCGGGGGAAGATCCCGGACAGACCATAATGGCTTTTTATCTTCCTCAGCATATCTTCTTTTAGTATGTTATGTTTATTTTATTACTTTTATTAAATGCTAATAAACAAACAAAACAAAAGCAAAGTTCTTCGCCTGAGCGGGTAACGTTTCGGCCGTACTTCTGCCATCATTACTCAGGAGAAGGTAGCCGAAAAATCCAGAGGGACCCGCGAACCGTATAATTAACGATCTTCGATACGTCAAAACTCAAATGGTGGTTTTGACCCAATGTTCTGAGGATTTATAGTGGTAATCCCGACAAAGAATCTTCATCAGTGAAGGAAATCTTGACAAGGTTTCACCTGATTGATGTCTTCAATTATTCCTGAGTTCGATTTCCGGACCGGCCCACCATTACCAGGCCCATTGGGAGATGAACACAATATAACGGCGAGGACTGGGTTTAGACTGCGTCGTTCGTCAATGTCGACGTATGCGCGAATCTGGATTCGCCCTGGCCCCGGGGTTGATCCAGATTTACGCACCCTGGCGTGAACCGCCCGAAACCGGCTCCAGGTTTCAGACTGAGATAGATTTGACAACCCTGGTATGAAATGAACATGGTAACAGTATTGTGCTGTATATTGTCCTGGGCTAGCCCTTAATAATACCCCGGCTCCGGTCAGTCTTGGCTGTATATCATTTTATACAGCCTAATAAATCAAATCAAACGCAAATGACTTGAGCAGGACCACCTACGCACCCTGGTATAAAGGTTACAACTGACTAACTGGAATGTATCCGATCAAATAACCATGGTCGTCGTCTTGACGGGGCGGCGTGTGCATGTGTCGTCAAATATCTCAGAGTAGTGTATCTTCGTAATGAACAATTGCGATACAGGAAGTACCGACGAAAGGCGTGTTTTTCGGCCTGTATTGAAAATTAGTACATTGACACTTCCGTGACACTGGAACACACGTTGTGAATTTTTCATCCATGTCCTTGGCATCCAGCCATGATCCTCTGTATACATACCAGTCAGATGCATAACCTATCTAACTGTATCTGTCTATGTACGTATGCAAGCATGTACATTGTATAGATGTATGTGTGACTGTAATACACACAGTCATCTGTCTATCTATCAACACTAGCTATATATAGCCCATCAGGTACACGAATATACTACACAGTTTGTTTGTGTCGCCTAAACCAGGAAACTGAGTTTAGGCGGAACCAAGGAGGTTACCTCCATGGCGTAACCCACCTGTTTGGACAATAAGACCAGACTGTAAAGTTTGATCTATTGTCTGGACAGCTGGTTATCTATACGCTGCTGCAGACATGAAGTACTTACAAGAAGTCTTTATAAGAGGGCCTCAGGAAATAGGTCGCTTTTGCAGTGCCATACACATATGTTCGTTAATACAATATGAAAATACCGAGGCCGCTATAGCCGTCATCTTGTGATGGCAGTTGGCCGAAGAATAGCCACAGTTCAATAGTCTTCCTATTGTATACAGTAGCCTTTCATGGTTACTTCATCTAGAGTTGAATGAACGGGACATTATGACTCCGTTTTCTGCATTCAACTGTCACCAGCAAGCCGGGCTCATGCCTTCAATCGAGCATCAAATATTATTGCTCTTCGTCGAATTTCCTCTGAACATAAAGCCCCACGGGTCGACAGAAAAAAGCACGTCATGATCTATTCCTTCCACTGCCGTCAGAGCAGTAATGGCCACGGCCGGCGCACGTAGCACTTTACTTAATGCAGCGCGCTTCTGTGACCACCAGAACTCCTAACCTCCTACTCTTCCTCAGACAACGAAAGTGGCACGGCGGAAAGCGATAAAGATTACCTTACAGTCACACAATACCACCGCGGGCTCCCCGTACACGTGAGCGGGGTAATGAAGCCGGTGTTATGTTACTGACTTCGCGCACATTGACCTCCTTGGATGGCACTAAAGGTAACATAGAGGCAAACGTCTCATCGCCTTTGAAGCTATAAGGGCTTGAGGTTAGTAGGTTAACAACCCGCTGTGGTGCACTGTGTGTTGAACGGCAGAGCCCATCCATCTCCTTCCACCGCCCTTAACCTCTCCAGCCGAAGTCATTCACCCATTATACAACTGGGTGGAGTGAGGAAAGTCGTGCAAAGTGCATTTCGTAACTTCTAGCGAGGAATGGCAGTATTCGAAACCATGCCCAATCGATCTCGTGTCCGCTAGCCTAGACACTCGAACATTCGAGGGCACACAATTGGCACTCAAGACTATAATAGAAATGGGAAAAAGTATCTGGATGCAATTTCAGCTGATGGAAGTATTCTTCCTGTAGCGCCGACCGTAACGCGAGAGACAATGGCGCTATCTACATGTATATGTGCGGGTTTAATGTACAGGTTCGATTCCCCCAACTCTATTGACAGGTAAGCCTATAATCCACAGAGGACCTCGACATGAGGTTCACAGCGCTGCAACCTCTCCAATAGCTATCAAGTCGAGTGATCGACAACAGGCCGTGACGTGCATTTCTGATGAAAACTAACTGTCGTTTTCCACTGGGCCACTAAGTCTAACACTTCCATGATCAGAATAATGCAATAGTTCCCTTGGATTTATACTTTTAATGAGTGGTTGTTTATTTCTCCTCCTTATGCACGCTAACTTTCGATAGTAGATAACTAAAACTAAATAGATTTGGTACTCGTAACCTGAAGTGTGCCGAGTAGTTGTTTGTGGTTTGAAAACACCTCCTGTCACGCTACGCATGTTATATCACACACATACACTGTACATACATATATTCTGACTTCTATGTTAATCTACTTTAAGGCCACTATTCTGAC